TCTGTGAACTTCCTTTCACCTTGAAGTCAACTTACTAGGAATGAATACATTTTATTGATAAGCTCAAAAGGACCTTTATCTCGTTTACTGCTGGGTGACCCAAGTCTCAAGGCCTGCAGGATGTGCATCATTAACTACAAGAAAGAATTTAACTGTATTATCTTTGAGGAAAACCCCCTTTGGCTTCCCCTGTTAATTGCAAAAACCGTGGATGATTAACAGAGAGACCCTAACACTCTCCTGATATTCTGGGAACTGCAAAGCAGATGTCAAAGGTCATTTGTATTATGCCTAACCACAGATAGCCAAAAAACCACCCTTTTGATTACACATAAAAGTGGAAGAAAAGACTATTGCGCTAAGAGGAAAAATGTACTTTGTCCCTTCAAATTTAACACACACGAATATAAGAGGTGACATTAAAATAAATATATCACAAATGGAGGGTGGAGTGGTGGCAGGGGCAGGAGGAGCAGCAGGGGCAGCGGTCTCCGTCTCCTGCCTCTGATACTCGGCTCTGGACAGACGTGGACACATTCTAATGTTGGTGTGAAAACCCAGCAGTTTCTAAAAATGGTGTCATATTTAAGTGTTGCTTCTCTTTCAGCTGAGTTAAATCCATAACAATATCATTTAGTTCAGGGAGATTTTAGCACAAGCGCCTACGGTGCCAGCTTCTCGAATGTGGGGATTATCAGTTGATCATAGTGAACTGAATATCTCTTTGACTGTGGATTGATAAAAGCGAGAAATCTGACAGAAACTTGATACTTTTGGAAAATGATCTCAAATGTTAAAAAAAGGAATAAATAAGCATGATGACAATCACTGATATATATGATTTATAGGAAATAGTACCCTGTATGCTCCTCCAGCTCCTGTGCAGAGGGTCCATTCTGAGCCGGGCCTAAGCAGAAACATTGTTATTTGTAACGAATAAGTGTTCTCCTCTAAATCAACACTTTGCAAAAGAACACAGTAGATGAAAACAAGGTTGTAGTAGAGAGAGAAAATAACCTAACTAGTAACCTTACGTTCATTTTGATAGTATACATTCATCGTATACAAGGTAGTGGTTTCCTTTTTTATGTAAAAAATCAAACGATTAAGTAATTCGTCACTCACTGGAATAAATACATTATTATTATTATTTCAAACCATATTTCAGTGCAATATCACATTTTCAACACACAGCAGCAGGACTATAGCAAAATGCAAAACAATTGTAAAATGCAGTGATGACCTGTTTATTATTTTAATCAGTGTGTTCCCTTTATAAGACACAATCAGGCTTTGATTATGATTTATGCTATACACATAGCGGCTACACAGATCACAGCATGACTGCTTTTATACATACATACATAGCACCCTGCCCTTCCTGCTGAACTCTTCCTGTTGCTCTACCTGTGCCTGCTGGAGAATGAAGAGCCTGCAATGCATGCATCATGGAGTCGGCAAAAAGAGCAGCATCTTCCTTACTGCCAAAGTTCAACCCCCACACGTGTTTGGGATCTCACCACTGATGGAAGTTTTGAGTGGCTTGGTTGTACTTTATCCCTTTGACAATAGGACAGTTGATCACCACCTAACAGAGAGGAAGGATTTGAGACCTTGGGGGTCTTAGCTCAGTTTGTCACAAACACCTTACACATTAAGAGTTATGCAAACTAATTTGACTCAGATGTATAATGTATGATGTATCTGTCAGTTTATACAGATTATGACACCTCAAAGTGTAGGTAATGTTATTGTGGCAGCGGGGTGTGGTTAGAGTGGCTCAGCTGATCAGAACCAGGTAAAGAGTCACTAAATAAAAGTATGCTGGTAGGGAGATCCACTGACACGGAGCAGCCTCCTTCCATTCTGCAGAGAAAAAAAACAACGTTTATTAAAAATAATTGTTTATGTTACTATGTGACTTTGTGGAACACCTCCGTTTCTACCACCCGGTGACAGAAACGGAGGTGTTCAAAAAGTAACATAAACAATACAGCCGTCCTTTATTTCTTGAGGCTGCTTCGTATCAGTGGATCTCCCTCTCAGGACCCAGACTACTGCTAGGAGACCAGAACCAGGTTACCAGCATGCTTTTATTTAGTGACTCATTACCTGATTCTGATCAGCTGTCTGGCCTCCAGTGGTGACACTGTATTGGACAAAAGGAGCACATTCATTAATTTCCCAAGTAACATGTAATCTGATCGCAGGGACATCCAATCATCCAATCAACCTTCAGACTGAGTCTAAGCAACCTCTGACAGTACGCCATTTCTGGTGTGAGATGTGAGAGCAGGCTGAAGAAGCCACATCTCAACAAAACTAAAAACTACAAAAGTATGGGAACAAGCTTTGATTTCTTATTTCTATTGAATAGCTGCTGGCATGGATGTATTACATAGATAGACCAAATTCAATTATGAGCTCAGGAGAAGTGAGGCTAATGTTGAATAGGTTATGCTGTGTTTTAAGCAGGGGACTAAGCAAACTTGAAATATTTTCATTGAACTTGGTGAAACTGAGCTAAACTGGAATTACAGCTGAGTTTGTCATTCTATTGTTTTCCAAGTTTAGTTTAGTTTAATTTATTTATTTATAGTGTCGTGGACAGTCCCCATCGATGAACTGTCACAAAAACAGTAAATGGTGCAGCTTTAGCCGACATGGCTAATTTCCAGCTGTTGTCCCCGGCCAGATGGTAATAGACACCCTTAAAATTACAATATATCAACAGCATTAGTTAAGTTAAGTGAGTTGTTCCCTCAGGGTGTATTGTACCTGCTGGTCAGCCTGCAGTTTGCGTCCCACCACTCTGAAGGTATTAGACCCAGGGTGATGATAGATGTGGACTTGGCTGATGGAAGGAGCCTCAGATCCCGCTGGCACCCATCGCTTGTGGACATCATCATACAGCATGACTGTTGCTCTTACTTGGCAGATAATAGACTCACTTTGTGGAGGAGAAATTATGAAAAATGATGACATGATGCTCATGCTCATTAGTGAAGAAAAAAAGGTTGCTGAATGTGGAGGGAAACAAATGTGTAGTGTAGTGGCAGTAATGTAGATATGGACACCTTGTTTTGAAGCGGTAATGCGTGAATATTCATATTTAATCTCTAGTCTTTGTGTGGAGGGCACTGCACTGTGTGTGGTGTAACTTCCTCTCACTCAATATGTAAGGATATATATAATAAGCAGGTATAATTCGGACACCAGACAAGAACATTGATGTTGTGCATATCTTTTTTTAAAATGGTCAAGGTTTATATGAGCTGCTGACATTGTATAGCATAGTAAAAGTATAATACATAATGTAATCTGTATTAATACATATTTTAAACCTTTAAATGCATTTTTTTTAAATCTAAATCAGCAACAATAACTATCAAATCAGTGCAGTGAAATAATAAAAATTGTATTGCCTTGAATATAAAGCATTAGAGGGAAAGACACATCATTTATAATTTTACAAAAAAGTTAAATCAAACCTCTTCTTTTAAAGCACCCCTATGATTTTCTCCATTTGTCATAGAATATTCCTTTTACACTTATTTCATTACTTTACAGTCTGAATCATTATGACTATGAGTTATTTTTGAGTTAACTTGTTTTGCAAAGTCTGTAGCCTGTGGGAAATGTTGACTTCCTGCCAAAATATTTTGTATGATTTGAAAACTTCCTGTGTGCGGCACAATGCCACCTAATATGGACTACTATTTATTTCTTAAAAACGTTATGTATACCTTACCAGGGGAATCAATTGTTAAAGCATCACAGAACAGAGTCAAAAGTCAAAGAAGAAACATGATTAAAAAAAAATGCAAATAAACTACCAGAACAGCTAAGTGCATAATACACCTTTTACCCAATCCACAAATCATTGCACCTATGGTTTTTAGCACTGTAATATATTATTATATAGATACAATTATAAATGTGTATATTAATATTAATGCATGCGATAGAGTACTGTAATTGCTAAGGATTGATGTCATTTGTTCCTTAGTGCTGGGTGATGGTGACATATACATACTAGCTAAACACAATTTGTTAAAAACTATTCTGCTATGTACTCCAGAAATATAGCAGGAAATTTGGTTGGAACGAAGAGGGTTTTAAGCAGATAGGAAACTTCGTTTCTGGAGGTTTTTAGCTACGCATGATGCGTTCTAGAGCAAAAACCTAACCCAAAAGCACAGCTTTGATTGGACTAACATTATCACCGTTTTAAGACTTATCCCATAGTTTAGCTGTAGTCAGTATCCAAAGTTTTACTTGCTTTTCAACAATTTGTTTCTTCTCATGACATGTAATCCTCCCTCTCAATCCCGCACACCTCAATTGCTCTCTCGTGCACTTCTGCTTTTGTATTTTCATTTCCTAGACAGAGCTTTTTTCTCTTCCTGTTCTCGTCTTCAGCACATTTAGTTTTATTGTTATTTTCACATCTCCTCCTTTATCTGTCTGCATGTGACATAGCATTTATTTCCTCCTGGTCCTGTGGTAGCAATGAAAGAAAAACTACAAACTTGTTTTGTTTTGAGAACACTGTACACATCTGTATTAAATATGATGAAAGCGAAATCCTCCACTGTGTAGAGGTTTCTCAATTCTTAAATGTCCCCTCCTCGACTTCCCTCCTCGACTCCTATCCTCGATACTTAGTCCCGCCCACAGGAGATGCGAGCGGAGGACTGAGGAGGGGAACCGAGGAGAGAGGAGGGGAACCGAGGAGAGAGGAGGGGAAGCAGCAGGCGGTTAGAGAAATGAGAACTCCTCTCCGCTGAGCGGTAATTTTAAAGAGACGTCCATTAATGATGACAGGAGGCACAGCAGCCCTCTGTCTGATGGACAGATGTGTTCATGACCACTTATATATTTACTTTTAATTCCTTCACAGTGCGGTATAATGAGACAATAACAGGCTACAGATGCGCACACACACACATATATATTTATATAAATATACACAATTTCAGAATCAAACCAGTATGAGAGCACTCTCATAATAACGTAACACAATCAGAGACTGGATATATCCCCCCCCCCCCC